CCTGATACAAGCTTAATTATAGGAATATACTGCAATATTACAAATTGCAGAAGCGTTGAAAACAGTGAATCTATGGAACGGTAAAAAAAAAAAAAAAAAAAAAAAAAAAGCTCATTCCTAGGTTAGAAATCAACGATAAGTTGTACATTAGTGTGATCACATTATTGTGTACATTTGCAAATGAACTTGGAATTGAGCAAATATACTCATATTTCATTCACATTTACCTTACTGTTGAATATAGTCTTATCTGCTGAAGACTAAACGTTAATAATTTTGACTGGCAGGACACGTTAAATAATAGTGCACATTATGGTCTTGCATAATGACATCACTAGTGTCTACACAGCATTAAGCCACCAGAGGGCTAACTTTGGTACATTCCTTATGGGACAAGGCTGTGTGTGTTTGTGGGAATGTGGGTACACAGGAAATGCATGTCCCCCCACTCAGGCCTGGGGAGAGGGGTCGGCACCCCACAAGGGCACCCAAATTTCATAGACTCGTCTTTGGCCACAGACATTCCACCCACATTTTATCACAATCTGTTGTCCTTCCTTAGGCAGGGCTGTAAAAGGACAAGCTGTTCAAGAGCTCATTTCACTGGTTTCTACAAATTCATAGTTTTATCCGCTTGATCGGCTATTTACGGTGTTTGTCATAAAAAAAAAAAAAAAAAAAAAAAAAAACAATATTGATAGCGATACCAGTAACTCTAATCCTAATTTTTTTTTTTTACGAATCCTTATGTAGTAATGTGTGTGTGTGTGTATATATATATATATATATATATATATATATAAATAAATCAAACGTATCGTTGCTTAGGGCCCCCAGACCACCAATCTCCAAGTGCCAGTTTGTGGCTCTCTGTTAGGAGTCAGAGATTAGAAGGTAATCTAGAAAGAGGCGAACGTGTTTGTATCTGTGCATGAATGCATGCACGTCTGTGTATGTTTGTGGATGTGCACTTTTTTAGAGGCCAATTAAACGCTTTATAAGATGACAGTCTGCACCGTAAGTGAAGAACCTGAAAGAAATAGAGTGCTACGAATCAAAAGGATTTCAAGGTTATTACATTTTCATTACAAAGGTTGCGCACACTTTGACATACAATTATGAACACCTGCTCTTGTCTCCTTGTGTGGGGGTGGAGGAGGGGTGAATGGGCGTGGCCATCCGCTGCTTTGTTTTCGTCTGCTGTATAAATAAGGCCAACGTCTCTGGCAAACACAACAAGCATCTGTCGTTACTTCGCCAAGTGCTCCTGCGATCTCTTCAGAAGTTCGTCTGCTCGTCAGTCTCTCCAGCTGCATTCGGCTTTCTCTCCAGCGTCGCCATGAAGCCCGTAATTCTTGGTCTCTTGATGGTTCTCTTCGCCGCCGCATACCTGGCACAGGTAACGTCGTGCAAAAGCATATTGTGCATGAACATTGTTACCGAAACCTTATCGAAATGTATATAGACATGTCATATAAAGGATAAAATAAGGGAAACCAAACTTTCGCTTGTCTCATTCCAATATTATGAAATCTTCCTTTGCAGGACATTAATGAACAAAGCCAAGGCTGCACTGACGAAGAAGGATGTGTCGAGGCTGCACAAGGTATATTGCTGCACACCTTTTTGTTTTCCTTTTTACCAATGCATCTCCTTTCCTTACGAATCCTTCATATCTATTATATTACAATTTTTCAGATACACTTTTCTCATCATTACTTTTGTACCTTTGCTTAGCTGTCAGCTGGCTCTATCTTTAACTCTTTCAGTTGTGCGCCAGACTGTAATGACATGCCTTTTCCTCTTCGCAGGCGCAGGAGAGCCACTGCACCGCGTTGCGAGACAGACCAACCAGTGTTCACAAACTGACGACGACTGTAAAAACCTCAACGGAATTTGCATTCCTAATGGGGATACCTGTATCGGCGACACGCAGAAAAAATTGTGTGGCGATGAAGATTGCACCTGCTGCAAGAAACACGTGTGCGTCCAAACGCCAAATCAATGTTTGAAGAACAATGGCGTGTGTATCAACCTCATGGACGATTGTGCTGGGAAAAAGAATGACACCCTCTGCAACAATGACCACTGCACCTGTTGCCAGAAACACGTGTGCCTAAATACGCCCAAGAAGTGTTCCAGTAATAATGGCGTGTGCATCAACCTCATGGACGATTGTGCTGGGAAAAAGAATGACACCCTCTGCAACAATGACAACTGCACCTGTTGCCAGAAACACGTGTGCCTAAATACGCCCAAGAAATGTTCTGAGAAGAATGGCACATGTATAAACCTCATGGACGATTGTGCTGGTACAAAGAATGACACCCTCTGCAACAACGGACACTGCACGTGTTGCATTCCAGCCTAAGAAGCTTTCACTCTTTCGAAGCATTCCACTTCTGTGTCTCTCCAGATCTGTAGATTTCAGAACCATAAATAAAATTCAGGATACTTCCATAAACTCTCATTGCATACATGCTTTTACCCGGATATCTCTCATGCAATGTTTTTAAGCTAATAGTTGGTAAAAGTACACACATAACGTTAATGACGATTTAAACAAAAATCTAGCATCTTTCATGTTTATCTCTCCACAAAAACATACTATATACTCAGTCAAATACAAGTACACATGTATGTGTACACGCACATGGATGTATATATGTATACATATATACATCTATTTATACATATAAATATTTGTACATGTACATATACTTCATATATGTGCGTATAGGAAATAATGAAACGAACACTAAAATATTTGATGCTTCAAACCTCCATGGTTCGGGACGACAACGTTATATGCAACTTTTGTAGCAAGGGCCTCCTTGAGTCATTTGCTACGAAGCAGCAGCTTATGTGGACAGAGATGTAAAGTGTCCCATCCGGCGTTTAACCATATTGTTTACATTGCAAGGAAAATGTTTTTTTTCTGAAATGCCACTATATGTAAGCCATTGGTTCTTAACCTTTTTCGAAGTACAGAACCCCGCGAGTTTCATCCGTGCATTCATCAAACACTTTCCACTTGGAATAATATTTCTTTTATGGACATATGTTTACTTTGTGCATAAGATGAACCATGCATAAGTTGTACACGAAGTCACTGTCTTCACAGAACAAAACATAAATTTGACACGAAAACAAAAGCATATCTCAATCAATACTTATTGTAAATCAATGCGACTTTTGCTGTTGACTTTCAGACAAGTTCAGAAATGCGCATTACCTTGGCAAGTCCCACTCATTTCATTTTCGCAACAAATTCTGCTCCTTTCCATCGTCTTCCTGTCTACCATCCTCGAAAACGATTCCTCGTAAAGATACGTTGTAACAAACAAGGATTTCTTACCAATAACAGACTACACTACAAGTTGGTGAGACAAAAAAAATGAGAGCATTGTTGTTCTGCAGAGTTACTGTTGAGCCTGGCTCTGCTGAAGCTCAATCATTTCGTCGAGGTATTCCTCGTTGACATCTGGCGTCACAACACTACGTGAACGGTTGTCTCACCCATGCTGGATGTGACTCTGGTGGGGAAATAACTGTCGACAGACTCCAAGTGCATGGGAATTGCTTGCTTGAGTTCCCCAGTACAGAAATGTCTCCGATTCCAGACACCTTACACAGTCGTACAAGGGAAAGTTTGCAAGGTCATCCTTCTCTGTTCGTCGTTTCCATGGCGCTAGCTTTTTTGAAAAGCCTTCAGGTTGGCTTCCGCTTCGATGATGTTGACTCTACCGGCCTGACGTCACGAATCATACGACTGAGGTGAACGGAAGTGACCTTCGCCCAACTCATGAGTCACTCACCGAAACCCTGCTTTTCGATTGAGCCTGGGTTAAAACCCCTGATACAAGCTTAATTATAGGAATATGATGCAATATTACAACTTGCAGAAGCGTTGAAAACAGTGAATCTATGGAACATGGTAAAAAAAAGCTTATTCCTAGGTTAGAAATTAACTTTAAGTTGTACATTATTGTGGACATTTGCAAATGAACTTGGAATTGAGCAAATATACTCATATATTTCATTCACATTTACCTTACTGTTGACTATAGTCTTATCTGCTGAAGACTAAACGTTAATAATTTTGACTGGCAGGACACGTTAAGTAATAATGCACATTATGCTCTTGCATAATGACATCACTAGTGTCTACACAGCATTAAGCCACCAGAGGGCTAACTTTGGTACATTCCTTATGGGACAAGGCTGTGTGTGTTTGTGGGAATGTGGGTACACAGGAAATGCATGTCCCCCCACTCAGGCCTGGGGAGAGGGGTCGGCACCCCACAAGGGCACCCAAATTTCATAGACTCGTCTTTGGCCACAGACATTCCACCCACATTTTATCACAATCTGTTGTCCTTCCGTAGGCAGGGCTGTAAAAGGATAAGCTGTTCAAGAGCTCATTTCACTGGTTTCTATAAATGCATAGTTTTATCCGCGTGATCGGCTATTTACGGTGTTTGTCATTAAAAAAAAAAAAAAAAAAAAAAAAAAAAAAAAAAAAAAATTGGTAGTTAAAAAAAAAAAAAAAAATCCATGCCCCATGGAATTTCGATTCCCCACTTCGTAATGCCCGAGGAACCGCTTTCAATTTATTTGTTTCAATAGTGTTCCTATATTTAGGAGTTTGGGATCTGTCTCTATGCGATACCAATAACGCTAATCCTAAACAATTTTTTTTACGAATCTTTATGTAGCAATATATATATATATATATATATATATATATATATATATATATATATATAAATCAAACGTATCGTTGCTTAGGGCCACCAGTCAGCACCAGTCTCCAAGTGCCAGTTTGTGGCTCTCTGTTAGGAGTCAGAGATTAGAAGGTAATCTAGAAAGAGGCGAACGTGTTTGTATCTGTGTATGAATGCATGCACGTCTGTGTATGTTTGTGGATGTGCACTTTTTTAGAGGCCAATTAAATGCTTTACAAGATAATAGTTTGCACTGTAAGTAAAGAACCTGAAAGAAATACAGTGCTTAGAATCAAAAGGATTTCAAGGTTGACATTATATTTTCATTACAAAGGTTGCGCACACTTTGACATACAATTATGAACACCTGCTCTTGTCTCCTTGTGTGGGGGTGGAGGAGGGGTGAATGGGCGTGGCCATCCGCTGCTTTGTTTTCGTCTGCTGTATAAATAAGGCCAACGTCTCTGGCAAACACAACAAGCATCTGTCGTTACTTCGCCAAGTGCTCCTGCGATCTCTTTAGAAGTTCGTCTGCTCGTCAGTCTCTCCAGCTGCATTCGGCTTTCTCTCCAGCGTCGCCATGAAGCCCGTAATTCTTGGTCTCTTGATGGTTCTCTTCGCCGCCGCATACCTGGCACAGGTAACGTCGTGCAAAAGCATATTGTGCATGAACATTGTTACCGAAACCTTATCGAAATGTATATAGACATGTCATATAAAGGATAAAATAAGGGAAACCAAACTTTCGCTTGTCTCATTCCAATATTATGAAATCTTCCTTTGCAGGACATTAATGAACAAAGCCAAGGCTGCACTGACGAAGAAGGATGTGTCGAGGCTGCACAAGGTATATTGATGCACACCTTTTTCCTCTCCTTTTTACCGATAGATCTCTTTTCCTTACGAATCCTTCATATTTATTATATTACAATTTTTCGGATACACTTTTCTCATCATTACTTTTGTACCTTTGCTTAGCTGTCTGCTGGCTCTATCTTTAACTCTTTCAGTTGTGCGCCAGACTGTAATGACATGCCTTTTCCTCTTCGCAGGCGCAGGAGAGCCACTGCACCGCGTTGCGAGACAGACCAACCAGTGTTCACAAACTGACGACGACTGTAAAAACCTCAACGGAATTTGCATTCCTAATGGGGATACCTGTATCGGCGACACGCAGAAAAAATTGTGTGGCGATGAAGATTGCACCTGCTGCAAGAAACACGTGTGCGTCCAAACGCCAAATCAATGTTTGAAGAACAATGGCGTGTGTATCAACCTCATGGACGATTGTGCTGGGAAAAAGAATGACACCCTCTGCAACAATGACCACTGCACCTGTTGCCAGAAACACGTGTGCCTAAATACGCCCAAGAAGTGTTCCAGTAATAATGGCGTGTGCATCAACCTCATGGACGATTGTGCTGGGAAAAAGAATGACACCCTCTGCAACAATGACAACTGCACCTGTTGCCAGAAACACGTGTGCCTAAATACGCCCAAGACGTGTTCTGAGAAGAATGGCACATGTATAAACCTCATGGACGATTGTGCTGGTACAAGGAATGACACCCTCTGCAACAACGGATACTGCACGTGTTGCATTCCAGCATAGGAAGCTTTCACTCTTTCGATGCATTCCACTTCTGTGTCTCTCCAGATCTGTAGATTTCAGAACCATAAATAAAATTCAAGATACTTCCATAAACTCTCATTGCATACATGCTTTTACCCGGATATCTCTCATGCAATGTTTTTAAGCTAATAGTTGGTAAAAGTACACACAGAACGTTAACTTAATGACGATTGAAACAAAAATCTAGCATCTTTCATGTTTATCTCTCCACAAAAACATACTATATACTCAGTCAAATACAAGTACACATATATGTGTACACGCACATGGATGTATATATGTATACATATATACATCTATTTATACATATAAATATTTGTACATGTACATATACTTCATAAATGTGCGTATAGGAAATGATGAAACGAACACTAAAATATTTGATGCTTCAAACCTCCATGGTTCGGGACGACAACGTTATATGCAACTTTTGTAGCAAGGGCCTCCTTGAGTCATTTGCTACGAAGCAGCAGCTTATGTGGACAGAGATGTAAAGTGTCCCATCCGGCGTTTAACCATATTGTTTACATTGCAAGGAAAATGTTTTTTTTTTCTGAAATGCCACTATATGTAAGCCATAGGTTCTTAACCTTTTTCGAAGTACAGAACCCCGCGAGTTTCATCCGTGCATTCATCAAACACTTTCCACTTGGAACAATATTTCTTTTATGGACATATGTTTACTTTGTGCATAAGATGAAGCATGCATAAGTTGTACACGAAGTCACTGTCTTCAGAGAACAAAACATAAATTTCACACAAAAACAAAAGCATATCTCAATCAATACTTATTGTAAATCAATGCGACTTTTGCTGTTGACTTTCAGACAAGTTCAGAAATGCGCAGTATTACCCTGACATGTCCCACTCATTTCATTTTCGCAACAAATTCTGCTCCTTTCCATCGTCTTCCTGTCTACCATCCTCGAAAACGATTCCTCGCAAAGATACGTTGTAACAAACAAGGATTTCTTACCAATAACAGACCACACAAGTTGGTGAGACAAAAAAAAAAAAAAAAAATGAGAGCATTGTTGTTCTGCAGAGTTACTGTTGAACCTGGCTCTGCTGAAGCTCAATGATTTCGTCGAGGTATTCCTCGTTG